ATTATTTTTCGATATTGTGGTGAAGCGTCATCCGCCACAGAACCATAATTCTAAAACTGGATATGGAGTGTTGAATCACTTATGCCCATTTCGCCCACTTATATAGAATGAGTTCGCCATTATTGTGTTCTCTTAGTCTAATAGTGCATTGTATGTGAAAAAAAAAAATTACACATGATAATGCATTATTGGATCAAGACGTTACGTAATGATGAACTCATTTCATGTAAGCTGTTTTTTAATTTATGAGGGGACCTCTTAATCCAAGTACTAAGTGTGAGATTTGATCATTGATTTAAATTGGAGTCTCTGAACATCTGAGCACAAGAGTTGAAACTTAAGGATAGGGATCATCTCTAGATCATTTCCTCCTAATCCACCAAGTTCAGAGATATAGGCCATTAAAATTTAATCAAACAGCTAAAATTATTATAACTTTTAAAGTGAGCCCCTATTTGTAGCTGTTAGATCAAATTTTAATGGTCAAGATCCCCTAACTTTGTGGATTAGGAGGAAGGGATCCTCCGGGTCCCCTTCCGAAACTTAAAACTCAAGTCTCTAAACAGATTGGAAACAATTCTTATGCATATCAACGGGTGGAGCTTAGAAAGGATCACGGTAACACTGAGATCAGTTGCACACAATGTATTTTGTTGTTCGCTTGCCAATATTGCACCATGAGGAAGAGATTTTTGGTGGGCTTATCGACTAACCCAACCTCCACATGGGTTGAATTTTGGATTGTGTTGGGTTGAAGTATTATTAAATCGGTTGAAATCAACCTCTCTGAATGACAATAATTAAACGAACATGTATATTAAATAGATTTATACATTAAATTTAGTAACTTTTAAATGCACTTGTTTATTAATGTTTGACTAAATGGTGAAACTTGATATAACATCAAAATCAAATTATTTAAGGCTAATTTGACGTGAGTATTGATTATTTGTCTGTCATACTATGAGTTCATTTGAAAACGCTTTTTAAATGATTGAAAAACTTTTGGTGAAACTGATTTTGGATTCCAAAAGCACTTCAAATGCTTTTTGGAAGAAGGACTAGATATGTGCTCTTGCAGGTGTTGGAATTTTTTTATTTAGATTGATGGGCTCGGGGGGTCTAACTCTAATGACACCGATATTGTCTCTAACTTTACCACCTGCCCAATTCGTCAGGTGTGGGGTTTTACCACAAAAGACCTTGGTATTAGTTAGAGTGGGGTAATCATATTTAAAGTCATTGCTTTTCTTTACCCCCACCAATGTGGGACTGCTAACACGCCCCCTCACGTGTAATTCCATTTAGTGGTTTGCACGTGGAGATCCACACATCTGTAATTAAAACTCAGAGGTTGGCTTCAATGGAGTCCAAACTTGTTTTCAATCTTTTTCAGGAAGTGACTTTTAAGAACTCAGAGGCCGACTGTATGTTAAGAGTCCAAACTTGTTTCTAAGCCCACACTTTGTGGTGACAAGCTCGTTGGCTTGCACGGGTCTATAACCGTGGGCTCTGATACTATGTTGAAATTTTTTTTAGATCGACGGGCCCGGGGGACCCTACTCTAACGACACCGATACTATCCCCAACTTTACCACTCTCCCAATCCGTCAGGTGTGAGGTTTTATCACGAAAGATCTCGGTATTAGTTAGAGTGGAGTAATCATATTTAAAGTCATTGCTTTTCTTTAACCCCACTGATGTGGGATTGCTAACAGCATGAAGCTTTTTCAAGATTCACTTGAATTTTTACTAAGGATTGATTTTAAAAACATTTTCACTAAAAATGCTTCAAGTATTTTAAAAGCATCTCCACACAAACTGTATATTAGGAATAAGAAATAAACTAATCAAGCTCAACACGTGGAACTCCTCCCAGACTAAAAGTAATTTAAGTAGATTGAGTTGCCAATTTTCTTAAGTGACAATGAACTTGAACAAGTCGAACCCAAGCCTATTGAGTTGACCAGCGGATTGAAGTCTAAACCAACTAACGCACCCGGCGTCCGCGACAATGTGTTTCTGTTTAGAATTTTTGTCTGAATTAGATGATTACGTGGCCATTTCTTGATTGTTAGATTTGCTTTCGATAGTTTAAACCGTCAAAATGAGGCGGTCACTTTTGTCGTTTTTTTCTCATTTTCATGTAACGCCAAACCGGCGTTATCAGACGCAACGTCCACTTAATTGTCTGTCTTTATTTTTTTTAAGACACAACAATCTTCAACGTGGCCCTTGTAAAATAGGCCTCAAGTCCTATTGGGCCAAACCGGTTTTTAAAACTGGACCCGAAGGAGGTCCAAGAACTCGGATCCTAAACATTCTAATTTCCCAGTTCCTTAAACCCTAGAAAGCAGATAAGCGCAGTGTCAGCTTACTGAATTTTCCCAGGCGATCGTTTAGTGGAGCTGAGAAAATGGTGGTGAGGATCCGATTGGCGAGGTTCGGATGCAAAAATAGGCCGTTTTATCGGGTCATGGCGGCCGATAGCCGATCTCCGAGAGACGGCAAGCACCTCGAAGTCTTGGGCTACTACAATCCCTTGCCAGGTCTTCTCTCTTTTCTGTTTCTGTGCTGTAATTTTATATATATTTTTTTCAAACGTTTGTGGGTTCTAATTGCATCGTGTTAATTAGAAACCATAGAAATGTTGCATTTTTGTATTGGTAAAGCGGAATTTGATGAATTCGGATCAAAATTCAGATGGATAATGTTTGGCTGCTTAGAAAATGTTGGAGAAGTGATACCTTACACATTTTGGTTATGAATATTCAGAGAAAGCTATTGGGTCTTTTGTCGTCTGAGTAATATAGTTAGTGATATGCTGATGCTCTGTGATTTATATGAAATTTTACAGGCCAAGATGGTGGAAAACGAATGGGTCTGAACTTTGAAAGAGTGAAGTAAGTGGCTTTCGGCAATGCTTCATTTCGTATGTTAATTATCGGTGAATTGCCTTTAGTTGCACTTCGTTATCAGTTAAATTGCGCATTTTGGTCCCGGTTTATTCAAAATCACTATTTTTAGCTTTTGTTTTCGGAAGTTATCAGGTATTGGTATGAAAGATGTTCAGTATATGCAAGGTTCTAAAAGACGCTAGGCGCTGGTCGGGCGGCGAGCTGGGGCCTAGCGCCTAGGCGGCTAGGCGGATTTAAGTAAATCTACTATATTTCATGTAAATAAGTGTCAGTTTATTCCTAAAATATATGTAATTTCATCAAAGACTACAAAATAGAATTATATATATATATATATATGTATATATATATATATATATATGTATTATGAAGTATTGGAATGTAATGAAAACATGGGGAACAAGCATATAATGTGTGTTTATTTAAGTATTCAACAAGTCTCTTACAAGATGGTGGAAAATGAATGGGTCTGAACTTTGAAAGAGTGAAGTAAGTGGTTTTCAGCAACGCTTCATTTTGTATGTTTAATTCTCGGTGAATTGCCTTTAGTTGCACTTGTTTATCAGTTAAATTGCGCTTTTTGGTCCTGGGGTATTCAAAATCAATGTTTTTAGCTTTTGTTTTGGGATGTTATCATGTACTGGTTTGAAAGATGTTCAATATTTAGCTCTGTGAGTTGATTATATGTTTCCTATTGTTCCTCATGCATGTACAAATTATCACTCGACTGTGAGGGTTAACTTGTATAGTCTTCTTGTATTCATGCTAGAACTTGACGGGTGCGTATGTTATTGTGTGTAAATATGACCCACTAATGATGACAGAGGCTAGATGTCTTGCGAGATATATACATAAGGAGGAGGGTATATGCTCACTGAAAAATTGTCAAATTTGGATCAAGACACTTTATTGGTAGAAATTTCTGTGAGTTTGAGATCTGGATCTCAATAGTAGGGTTGCTTGATTCCATGCTTATTATGGGTACTCTTATGTTGAAATTTAATGGAATTCTTTTGAAATTTTGAGAAGCTGAAACAATTCTTCCCAGGAGGCTTATGAGAGAGAATTCATGTTTTCAAATTAAAAGTTTATCTGCTGTATCCCATCAGTTTGTTCACTCTTTCTGCAGGTATTGGCTATCCGTTGGAGCTCAGCCTTCGGATCCAGTGCAGCGTATTCTTTTCAGAGCTGGGCTGTTGCCTCCACCACCAATGGTGGCAATGGGACGTAAGGGAGGGCCACGTGACACGCGACCTGTTGATCCTATGAGTGGACGGTTTGTGACTCCTGAGAAGCCAGCAGCTAGTGGTGATCGAGGGAAAGATGCGGAAAGCACTGAAAACGATGGTTAAGACGGCACAAGAATTTCCATTAAACTTCCCCAAAATTTGTAAGATCATTTCTTACTATAATCTTTTGTATTTTTCTAGGGCAAGAGGGGTTGCAAGAAACGATCTTTCATATTGGATTGCAGGATAAGCAGCTTGGTATCGGTCAATTCTGAATAGCTTGGGAAGAGATACAGTCATATCTAAATAGCTACTGTATTAGGCGTTAAAGAACACTACTGTATTGAATGTTTGATTTTGTTTAGTTTATGGAATGAACTTCAGCTTGTTCATGGCATCACTTCATCATCATTGTCGTTTTCAATTTTCTATATGAAAATGCCGAGATAATTGGGCTTGTCTGGGATTGCTTATGTAGAAAGCACTTACAAGCGTGTATGCTGTAGAAGTGGTTTCATCAGAAACATGTTGAAATTTTTATTAAAAATTAAGTGCTTCATAAAGAAGCCTATGAGAAGTGCTTATCCAAATAATGCTTTTATGACCTAGAAGATTTTGAACTTTTTTTCTATCAAACGCATAGGCGTTTTTAGAAGTTTTGCCGATACATTTTCCATAATTAAACATGGCATATTCATGATGTGAATAAACATAAAAACACGCCTAATTAAAATCTTTGTAACATAAAGGCTCATATAATTGGCAACATATCAGACTGTGAATAGGAAACATTAATTAATTATTGATTAATGAATAATTTCCTTCATCTACCCAACAATTCCCCATGTGTAAGTTTATCTTACATTGCAGGTCTCAAGCTCGGATAAAGGAGAAGGGGGAGGGCATCATGTAGTCAACAGCCGGCACTCCTAGGTTACGTCGAATCCTTATAAATAGCTGACCCCACTTAGTGGGAAAAAGGCTTTGTTGTTGTTGTATCTACGCAACAATTCCAAATTCAACACCCAATCATTGGAGGAGATACTGAGTTCAAATTTCTAAATACAAGTACCATATATTAGAAAGAGAACATTACCATTATACGAGTAGTGAACATTTCCTCCATCTACATAGTTATTGTCGTCGGTGGAGACCCTGAGTTCAAATTTCACGAACCACAATATGTAGAGCAAAATTGGGCCTCATTGCCACCAAACTAAGCCCAATGCCTAACCTACCTTATTGTGGGCCTCCCTTCAAAAATAAAGAATAAAATTAAATATTTTAAATTTTGGACAGCTCTCACTACCATCCACAATAAAGGGGAGAGAGGGGGGATGTTAGGCTAGGTATTTAAACGAGGGAGAGAGAGGATATAACGGAGGCCACGTTTTGAAACTCCCTTTACCCTTTTTCCTCCCCCCTCCCACCGCTTCTAGGGTTTTAGCTTTGCCGCCTTCTTCCTCCTCCTCCCTCCGTCCCTCCCTCTCTGCAAATCGGAATGGGCAGCGATAAGGATAATATCAACATGTCCGATCTCTCCTCAGGTGGTACTCACTCTCTCTTAACTTTCTGATGTTTTGTAATCTGATGCGGTGATCTTACTCTGCTTCTGGTTTTTTGTTTCTGAAGCTCTCAACGACGTGGATCGAGCAGGCCTCGTCAATGCTCTCAAGGTTAGTATTCAATTTTCTCGGCAACCAAACAGACTCTTACCCTGTTAATTAGCAGGAAATTTCAATTTTACAGTCTGTTTAGCTTTTGGTCTGTTTGTTCTTTGCGGTTAAGTGTTTGTTTGGCTGATGGAGCTTGCGTTTGTTGTGTTTGTGCAGAATAAGATAGAGAGTTTGGCCGGGCAGCACTCTGATATCCTCGAGAGCTTATCTCCTGCAGTCCGAAAGCGGGTCGATGTCCTTAGAGAGATTCAGGTATGATTCTTACTCACTCTGAAGCTTGAAGTTTAGTGCTTTGATATGCTGGATTGCTCATAGTTTCATGTCTTTTCATACTTTGTTTTGTTGGTTAATCAGATTATACTCTTATTTCATTTATATTTTCTGTTTAGTTACCATTTTGATTGATATGACGGGTTTCTGCAGCGGATAATAGCTTAACAATTTTTAAAATTGGAGTTTCAGTTGCGTTTTTTTGTTGGTTCTTGAAAAATACTGTGTTTGATTGACAAATTGGTTGGAGTTGTTCATTCTCTTAGTATTATGTGATGGAATATGTAAAAAGTGAATATATTATCTTGAAGTGTGAAGCACCCTAAGACTTTCTTTACTTGCAGACCCAGCATGATGAACTTGAGGCAAAGTTTTTCGAGGAGAGAGCAGCTCTTGAAGCCAAATATCAGAAATTGTATCAACCTTTGTATACCAAGGTGTTCTACTGTTCTACATACTGCAGTGTTCTATATATATTGTATATTCTCAAATACGAAGGGTTCATATGTGGGATGCTTCTTTCTTATTCGTTTTATTTATTTTATTAAATATGTTATGTATGGCTACGTGGTTTAGTGGCTTGTCACTGCTCTACCTAAGTGAGGTAGCGGTGGCACCCCTGGCCTGAGTTAGTGTGATTGATGTCCCGTTTCTTTTGCTTATAGGTTTCTTACTATTTTGTGAATGAGGAGCTTTACTTCATTTATTTTCATGTATTTCGTTTTAAAATAAATCGTACTGAACACTCTGCAGAGATACGAGATTGTAAATTGTGTTGTTGAAGCTGAAGGAGTCACTAATGAAGCAGCAACAACAGAAGAGGGTAAAGATTCCGAAGGTATACTCTTGATAGTTATTCAGGACCTATATAGTTTTTTATTATTGTGTGCAAATGTTAATTTCTTGTCTTTGCGTGCGTATTTATTTTCGCAGAAAAAGGAGTTCCTGATTTCTGGCTCAACGCAATGAAGAACAATGAAGTGCTAGCTGAGGAGGTGTTTATTGTGCCTAGAGTTCTCATATTTGATGTTCATAATTACTTTGTTGTTTGTCAGCTCAATTGTTTTTTTTTATTTTTTTGTATCACCAGATATCTGAGCGTGATGAAGGTGCTCTTAAATATCTTAAAGACATCAAGTGGTTTAGGATAGATAACCCTAAGGGCTTCAAACTGGAGTTCTACTTTGACACCAATCCCTATTTTAAGAACTCTATCTTGACAAAGACATACCACATGATTGATGAAAATGAACCCATTCTCGAGAAAGCAATAGGGTATGTTCGGGAGCCTTGCCTTTTGCTAAATGGTTCGGTTTCTTAGTTCATACTTATGTGACCAAGATGGCCCGTGCATCATAGTTTGTATACTTAATTTAATACAATGTCTGGTACCTGGTGCTTTGTAGGACGGAGATTGAATGGTATCCTTCTAAATGCTTGACACAAAAGCTTCTTAAGAAGAAGCCTAAGAAGGGATCTAAGAATGCTAAGCCAATAACTAGAACTGAAAATTGCGAAAGTTTCTTCAACTTTTTCAGTCCGCCTCAAGTCCCTGAGGACGACGAAGATATTGATGAGGATGTTGTAAGACACTCTTCTTTACTTTTTTGTTTCTCTTTCAAGGTTTTTGTCCTTTGTAGTCTCTTATTTGTACCTCTTTTCAACAGGCCGAGGAGCTCCAAAACCAGATGGAAAATGATTATGACATTGGGTGAGTTTATAACTTCTACTTGTAGACAGATTCCAGGCCTTGGTACTAGTCCTAGATGGTTTGGGAATTTTCTGATTGAGTGCTTTGTTTAAATTTTTCTTCTCGTATTGGCATCCTTTTTTGTGTAGGTCTACCATTCGAGATAAGATCATCCCCCATGCTGTTTCATGGTATACTGGAGAGGCCATTGAGGGAGAAGATTTTGGAGACTTGGAAGAAGATGAAGAAGATGAAGATGAAGATGACGAAGAGGAAGACGAAGATGATGAGGATGAAGAAGACGAGGAAGATGATGAAGACGATGAAGATGAAGGCAAAACCAAAAAGAAGGTGCAGTGTTTTAAACATTTTGATCATCTTTTCTCCTCTTGCATTCTTCTATGTGTTTGAAGTTTGAACTGACGGTTATTATTTTCTTATGCAATTGATTCTGACGCAGACTTCAGCTAGCCACAAGGTATGTTGCCTAGTTGTTAAAAATCGTTCATAAGTTGAATATCTAATCGTTTTGTTGTTTCGAAAATGAACTGTTTGTTTGCATATACTAATAACACGTGTTACATAATGTAGAAGAGTGCAAGAGCACCAACCGGGGAGCAGGGTGAAAGGCCTCCAGAATGCAAACAGCAGTAGAATATGATTGTTTCGGAAAGGCGGGTTGATTAGCTGTGAGTTCTCGTTGGACCTTCAGACTGTTTTAATAGAAAATGGTTGCTGGGCAGTTTTGTGTGGCCGATATATTTTTTTACCTTTTGTTTTCTTTTCCATGCTGGTTTAGGAGGAATGTGATGAAAGATGGTTTGGATGTCATTGTGATTTGTTGGCGTATGTCTGAATTCGATAGACAATGTTTTCTAGTAATCTATTATTGATTTGTGTAATTTTCGGCCTTTATTTCTCGTTTGATTGTCTCTATCTTGTGTTGGACATCTGAAGATGCGGAGGACATACATGGAACGGGTTCACTAGCACGTTGTGTCTCAATTTACTAAAACAAAGACGTGTTGAAAAGCTTACAATTGTAAATGTTGCTCTATAAGATGTGGCTTTTTTTGTTCTTTTTTTTTCGAGATTGTTAAGTTGTTGGGGACATGGGAGCCGAGGACTAAAGTCATCATTCTTCTTTTAGGCGCCTAAAGTTTCATCACTTTTCTTTTGGCCCCTAAAAGTTTCATCACTAAGAAGGTGAGAAAAGCAATAAGGTAGAAGATCAGTTGGAAATGCAAGTACTTATTGAAAAAGCATTTAGAAGGGTTATGGCTCGTTTAAAATTTAAAACGATTGAAAGTGCATTTGGTGAAAGTATTGGATTTCAAAAGTGCTCTAAGTGCATTTTGGAAAAAGCAACACTTATGTTTCTTGCATGAAGCATTTTAAATGCTTGTTTAAAATGCATTTGTAATTTTACTAATGGTTACAAAAGCACTTTTATCAAAAGTGCTTTTAATCAATATAAAAAGCACATCCAAACACTTAATTTTCAAGAAACTTGGAAGTGCTCATTTAAAAACAAGTGGAGGAATCAGGCTTCCGATTTATTAAACTTATGTTTTTAAGGAAATCCGGATGAACCAATTTAAAAACATAAATGTAAGTTGTATAATGAGTGAATATATTATTGAAGGAATGACTTGGCCTTCATCACAGAAAAATAGCGTCCGAGCATTTATCTATGCATTCGAGGTTACAATGCAGTATTTCTCCTCTCTATTTGTATAATAAAATAAAAAAAATAGAAAGAAAAAAAAATTGAGTGAGATTATAGGAAAATGCCCATTGTATTTAAACTAGGAGGATCATCGCTAGATCCTCTTAGTGATGATCCTAAAAATTTGAGTGAGATTATAGGAAAATGCCCATTGTATTTAAACTAGGAGGATCATCGCTAGATCCTCTTAGTGATGATCTTGAAGATACTCTAATCAAATCCGTTTATTGTACATTGTGCAATCAGAAATTATTATAATTTTTTTATTTAAAATTGAATATAAATAGTACCTGATAAAAACTGACCGCACGATGTACGATGAATGATGGATGGATTCCGGATCCTCACAAACAGGATCCTAAGATCCACTCTCGTATTTAAAAGGGTCGTGAGCCCAAGCAGTCAAGGTCTCCAGTCTCCTCCACTCCGACACTCTTCCGCTTCTCTCTGCGATGCTTGCTCCAGCATTTCAAAAAGGAGGGAAATTACCCTATAACCCTAAAACCCAGACTCTCTCTCCTCCCTCTCTCTCTCTCTCTCTTCCTCTGCCATTGCCTGATATGCATGGCTTCTTATAGTTTCCTAAATTGATTTTCCGGTCACCTTCTACCTCTTATTTCATCACTAATCTGATTCCGGAGAAGCTGTGGGTTGTGGAGGTTTGGAAGCTTGGAGTTCGTCACCAATGGCCAGGCTTCTCCGAAACGCTCTTTCCATGAAACGTTTCCTATTCCCGCCACAGGTTTGCCGTTCCTTCATTTGTGAAACAAGAAAGTTTTTTCCTTTTGTTTACTCAATGGCTGTCTGTTTGGTTTCTGGGAATGTTTAGGAAAAATTAATGTTTGAATTAATCAAAATTATAACTTCTGAGCTTCCGGCGTCTAATTTTTTGTTCGTTTTGTTTCGCAGATGGACCGGAGAGGATTATTGGGTACATCTACCCAGTTTTGCAATTTTTCTTCGAAAGGTGCTTGCTTTAAATTTTTAATTCTTATTCTTCCTGATGCTTTCAATAATTTGCATTTTGGGAAATGTTAGATTTTATGTATATTTTTATTTGTTTCGAATGAATTCGGAGGTTTTATAACGGAGTTTTAAGTATATCAATAAATACTTCTTGTGATTGTTTAGCGGAAATAAGAGTGAAAACAGGACTGAAAAAGAGAGACAGTGTTTGGTATTAAGATGTTTGTAAACTTTAATAATTTCATGGCCCCGTCCATATTTTTGCGTTCTCTAAGAAAAGATTTAGAGTACTTGGATCTAACGAAAGACATGACACAGAATTGAGTGCAATGGCGTTCTAGGATTCATATAGCCGACCCCACTTAGTGGGAAAAGGCTTTGTTTTTGTTGTTGTTTTTGTCCATATTATTGCGTTTAATGAGTTATCTTCATATGGCATGGAGTTTAACTGATTGTTTTACTAAATTAACTTGTTATATAATAGGATAGCTATTGTCCATTATGTGCTGCCATAAAACACGGTTTGTGCTCCTTTTGATTTTGAAAATATTTGCAATTCTGTCTGAAGTTAGAAAGAAATCTAAGTCGGATGGAAGTGACTCCTGTGATGAGAATTTGTCGAAGAAGGAGTTGGCCCTGAAGCAAGCCCTGGATCAGATTACGTCCTCATTTGGAAAGGGATCTATAATGTGGCTTGGTCGATCCGTCTCTCCTAGACAAGTCCCAGTGGTATCTACGGGTTCTTTTTCTTTGGACATGGCACTGGGAATTGGTGGATTTCCAAAGGTATCATGTGTGCTTAATCAGCTGAATGTTTAGGGTCATTATAGCAGATTATGGTCTTGGTCATATGAATGTTTTTGTGCATAAGACGCGAGGCAGATTTGACCTTATACTTCAGCTTGGAATATGTATTTGCTTCTCGTGATATTCATTCATTTTCTGCAGGGACGTGTTGTGGAGATATATGGTGCTGAGGCTTCTGGGAAAACTACTCTGGCTCTTCATGTAATAGCCGAAGCACAGAAGCAAGGAGGTTAGACTATGGCATTTTCTTACTTAAATTTGGTGGCAAATGAACATAGTGCACTGCACATATTGAACATGGTATGGCTGTTGTATGCGAAAGACGCAAGTTTTCATTATTTCTTTAAGTTGTTCAGTATATGTAAAAATACGGTACCTCCATACATGCACACATCTAAAATGTATTTCTATATCATCTCCTCAGTTTCTTGGAATTAGAACAGTTGTTTGAGTCTTTGTCCTGTAAAAAGTATATCTGATACTATCTATCACTGTGTCTCTTCCTCTGCATCTACGATACCTATGCTTTTTTTTTCTTGCTGGTCTAGTCAAATTAGTAAATTTCTTTGATCTATTAGCTTGAAATGTTGAAGCGATGTTATACAATGGGCATCGAAGGATTGGGTTTGGTGCACATTTAATGGTTATGGCTGGTGTGTAAAATGTAAATTCTTCATGTTTCAATATTTACTCATGAAGAACCGATTGAGACCATCTTTTGGTGCAGGGTAATCTGTTAATGTCAATTAACTTGTAGGTTTATCTTATGTTGGTGATTTTTATATTGGCTGTTGTCGTGATATTGAGTTCCTAGTCTTATGCAACTTATTTATGTAGGGACATGTGTTTTTGTTGACGCTGAGCACGCTCTTGATCCTACACTGGCTCAGTCTATCGGGGTAAACACTGAGAATCTACTTCTCTCACAACCTGATTCTGGTGAGCAAGCCCTCAGTCTTGTAGACACTCTAGTCCGCAGTGGCTCAGTTGATGTTGTTGTTGTTGACAGTGTAAGTAAGGTGCTTTTCAGTAACATTTTGTTTTCAGTGCAATTTATCCATGTTAGCCTTTTCCATGTTCATTGAGCATGCTTGATGTGTTCTTATAAATTCTCCTTGGTTTTTGTTCTGTTTGAATGTTTTTCACCTTCATATCATCTCATGAGGCTTTTGTATATATTTTTTTGACAGAGTTTGTCTTTTACTTTGCACGGTAGATGAAGGGTTTTCATATGATGACAGGTGGCTGCACTTGTGCCTAAAGGTGAACTTGATGGTGAGATGGGTGATGCTCATATGGCAATGCAGGCTAGACTAATGAGCCAGGCACTTCGCAAATTGAGTCACTCTTTATCTCTATCACAGACAATATTAATCTTTACAAATCAGGTAATGGCATTCGATTTCATTATTATATTTGATACATTTACACAACATAAAAAACTTATCATTTGTGAAAGTTACAAGTACAAACACTTTTACACATAATCTTATCATTTTCTGAGATTTCTGTTTTGTATTTTTGAAGATAATATGATATTCATCATTTCATGAATATTTGTTTGGTGCTCAGACTTCTCCAATTGTTTGTCTATCTTTAGGTGAGGGCGAAGCTTTCTACTTTTGGAGGATTTGGTGGGCCAACTGAAGTTACTTGTGGCGGCAATGCTTTGAAGTTTTATGCTTCAGTGCGCCTTAATATGAGGAGAATAGGACTTGTAAAGAAGGGAGAAGAGGTAGTTACCGACTCCATTTGTCCATTTTGTTAATGAATTTGAACTTTGCTCATCTAAAAATTAGAGTTGTCGTTTTTTTTGTCAATTGAATTGTCGTTGAGTACCTATTTGATTAGTGTGAAAGTATCTAGGTTTTATTAAGGCTACTTTCAGCAGAATATCCAATCATTTGATTGAAAATATTACCTGAATGGAGTAACATGGGCTTATTTACATGTTTTTGTGTTTCTTTTGGTTGGAGGATTAAATGCTATGTTATTTATGCATCCTTTTGAAAGAAATTAAATTTCCATGCAGACTATAGGAAGTCAAGTTCAGGTGAAGATAGTGAAGAACAAACTCGCTCCTCCATTCAGAACTGTTCAGATAGAGCTTGAGTTTGGTAAGGGTATATGTCGGGAATCTGAGATCATTGATTTGGGATTGAAAAACAAATTCATCACAAAAGCTGGCGCAATGTACGACTTAAATGGTCAAAGTTTCCGTGGCAAGGATGCCTTGAAAAGGTTTTTGTCCGAGAATAGTACTGCTATGGAGGAACTTACAGCAAAGCTTACGGAGAAGCTAGTTGATGATGTGGCAGCCAAGGAAGCAGAAACAGAACTTATGGGCGAAGGTCCTGTAGAGGAAATTGTTTCGCCTGATTCTACCGACGAAGATGCAGTTACGGCAGTTGGAGCGTAAGTACTTGGATGTCCTCAGAACTGTAGAGAAGTGTTTCTCTGTTTTCCCTGGTGGAGTTCGATGGTATAGGGGAGCGGCTACTGCATCCTCCTGAGCAGCTGGTAGAATCACTAGCTCTCCTTGTAAATTAATATCATTTGTTAATCACTATGTATGGCATGGATGCAGTGAAATTTTGTGGGTTCAAAAGGGGGCAAATTTGGGAAAGATGCAGGAGGAGGGTCGTTACTTAGATTTCTAGGTTAACCGTCGCAGCTTGTAATTACTCGTTCAGCTACAGTTTGTATGTCAGCGAGGTCAATGTTATATATCATTTTATTAACCCAACAGAATGTTATCTTTCAAGCTCTCGATCTTTGCCGATTTTTCTAAGCGCTTCAGACTACTATTTGTGGACGCAATTCTCCCATCGTCCCATCTCAGATCATCGCGGATCAAACCATCGGTGCAGATCAAAATCTGAACCTTATGCGATGGTCCGAGATGGACAACAAAACGTTTTGTTTTCTCCATTTCCTTGCTAACAGAATTTAGTAACAATAAAAGATAGTTATGACTTATAGTTGGTTCAAGTAGCTAGTAGCGATTAGGGAGAGTAATGTAATGTAAAGTTTTACTGGATCGAAATTTTCTCAGCTATCTCGGGTGGTTAAAACCAAAAAACTTCGTCTCGGTCTTGAGAGAAAGAAAAAAACAACGCAACAAGGAACTCTTCGCGTCCTTGTTCTCGTTCTCACGCAAGTTATTCTCGTTGTGGAGGGCAGTGTCAGGTATATTAACCAAAACTAGTGTTATGTACCGTGTAAGAACCCAAATATCCTCTTCCTCAACTCCATGATCAAAGGTGTCGAACAATCCCTACATTTTCTCTTGCGACCTTGCTATCTTCAATCTGGGGCCTGAAGAAAATGACAGTACTTCACTTCAATCTGTGGCCTTTTTGAATCGTGAAGAGTTCCTTGTTGCGTTGTTTTTTCTTTCTCTCAAGACCGAGAAGAAGTTTTTTGGTTTTAACCACCCGAGATAGCTGAGAAAATTTCGATCCAATAAAACTTTACATTACTCTCCCTAATCGCTACTAGCTACTTGAACCAACTATAAGTCATAGATATCTTTTATTGTTACTAAATTTTGTTAGCAAGGAAATGGAGAACACCAAACGTTTTGTTGCCCATCTCGGACCATCGCATAAGGTTCAGATTTTGATTTGCACTTATAGTAGAAGCAGTTATTAACTCAACTTGTCCATCTCAACCGTTTCCAAATAGGAAATTTTATTTAAACCCGTGTAACTTCTTTCTACACCTAACTTAAATTTTAAATGTTAATTGTTTATTTTACCTTATTGCATAATTATTATTAAGTACAAAATGAAATTAATAATAAAACACAAATTTATCAATAAACCCATACACTATAATTAAATTCTAGCATCACCCTTCGTTTATCCATTCATTCCGGCTAAAACCATAATAACCATAGAGAGAAACAAACTTTTCTATTGAGATGTGACACTTGAAGATGATTAAAAATGTTTTGATAGATATGTTAGAATTTCCTTTTCTTTAGTTTATTTTATATCATGTTTTAAGTTTAGAACTCACGGTGAAAAAGTTGGTAATGTGAAAAAGTGAACTAGCTACAATAATTTTCCTGTAATTCTTCAAATCAAGACAAGCAACTTACAACCACGTACTGTTGGAAAAGTTGATAGTTTGTTTCGAACCAGGATCCTCTCCTGAGCAATTCCCTAGGGATTCTAGAGATCCCGTAATTTTGTCCGTTCATTTTATATCGTACGGTCAGTTTTCGTTAGGTACTATTCATATTTGAATTTTAAAATTTAAAATTTAAATGATTTCTGACCGCACGATATACGATGAACGGATAAGATTGCGGGATCCCTAGGATACCTAGGAAATTGCTCAGGAGAGGATCCTGGTTCGTTTGTTTCTTTTAATTGCAAGGCGTTTTTGGTTTTGTTTTTAGTGTTTTGCTGGTTGACAAAAAAAAAGAGAAAGAATCGTGATTGCATTCTCCAGTAGATCTCCCCTTATCAAAGAGAAGTTGTCGGCAATAAGTGGGGAAAGTGGGATGGCCATGGAAATGATAGTAGCATAAAGAAAAAAAAAAAAAAAGCAGCCAGAGAAATGCTATACGGCATATGCAATTATAGAGAGGCAAAGAGGGCGTCTCTTTGAAAAAAATCATTCAATTCGAGATGTTATTTTATAAAAGGAATAGGTGTAAAAATAACTTTATGTTTTGAAATAGGTTTGAGATGGTAGTTTAGGTAATAAATTTGGGTTTAAAGAGATACTAATTCTTTAATAAAACACAATATCAATAAAAATAAATAAATTAGATGTAGATAAAGGTTACATGAATTCAAATAAAATTTTCCGTTTCAAATTTGTTTGTCTACTTATCAAGACAGATGAGTCATGAGTGCTTGAAGTCGTACTGTGCAGGATTCAATGTTTTGATGCTTGATGTGGTACTGCGTGTGCAGCTATTTGATTGGTAGTATAACCACTCAGCAAAGCCGGCTAGTGGAGAAATGTTTAGTTGTGACAGAAATACAAGTGATAAACTACGTGTTTTAATAGAAGTGGTGTGAAATTTTATTTTTTAAGTTATTAACTTTTTAGCACACATATCTCATTATTTATATAGTAACATGTGCGCACCATTCCGTATACCGATCACATTGAAAAATTCCTAAGCTAATGACACCGTTTAATCTCTCGATCAAGAGCGTGCTTAGTATCTACAAAAAGATATGTCCCGCGTCAAATACTAGGTTTTTTTTAAATAAAATTCATTTATTATTATTATTATTATTATTCTAAATCATGCTACCGCATAAGTACAATACCAGATAATCTAATCTAAAGGGTTAGAATGGAAGGAGCATTTCTTTACATTTTGTCAAACTTAAAAAAAATTAAAATTAACGACTTATTAGCACATAGACGAAATCCATTATAGTATAAGTTCAAAAGACTAAATCTCTGACCCAAAAAAAAAGTTTCAAAGACTAATTCTATAGCTTATTCAACGTTCGTGAAATTAAATAAAACACAAAAACGAACTTTGATCCTGGACAAGTGCATGCATGCCATTGCCGTGGTCAAACAACTCAGGACAAACCTAGAAACCCTTTACTGAGTCTCATATGCAGAAAAGTGATTGACTAACCTAGAATTCCGAAGCAGATATCGTGGCCAAACAACTCAGGACAAACGAGATGTATTTTTTTTTGAACAGTGATATTATATACACTAAAAGCGAAATGGTGAACCTAGTCTCACAAATGAGATTTTAAATATTATTAATCTAAGAGATTAATATGTTTGATACATGGATCCAATGCCAACCTCAACCACTCAACATGACGTGGCAGATCAATGGAGCTGCCAGCCGTGAAAATGATATGTGCGGTTTTGAAGCAATATTGAAAATGTGAAGTTTTGATGTGCCAATATTTTGAATAATGTTTGTCTGCATACCAAATCATTTTTTGGTCCTACTTCTTGCATTGCGGTCTCTTTCCGTTTGCCGTCAATTTGGGCACCATAAATTCGTACAAGAAACAAAGAACCCACAAAGAAGAAAATGGAAAACAAGACTATGTGGGCTTGACTGAACCGGACTGGTGGATGTCCCAATTCATCCCTAGCTCCCATTTTTTATACGTAAATTTATAAGGAAGGATTATGCGAGATTTGCATCTCGTCAACAGTCGTGTGTAAGGAATCAATCTTCTCACGAAAGAGAAGTAACTGTTGCACCAAAGAACCCCGTCCATCCTTATATGTTTATAGATGATTCGTAAAATGTAATACAATTGTACCAAGAAGAGTGTAATACAACAAATTAATGGAAGAAACCTTAAAAATTGTTTTCATTTAATTTCTTAAAAATAATTCTACATTTTTAATCGAAAAATTATGAAATCCACAAAACCTAAATAAAAAATATACAAATAATGAAAGTGGCTATATCTTATAAAAAAAAAAATACTTTAAAAAAGAGTAGCTATTAACATGGACAAATGGGAAAAAATGTGGAATACTTTTTGGTCAATAGACATCATAATATGAATCAAATTGATATGTTTGATCGTCTAAATTAATGGTGGAGAATGCCTGCCGGATGTGATAGGGTCAAAAATTGGCAAGCATTGATGGTCGAAAAGCAATCCATATATCAAAATCTTGACTATTCCTACTATTTCGACCAAAACAAAGAAAACGAAAAGAGGACTAGTCTATCCTACGTGCTAATTCTATATATTGAACATGTCGAACAGGTATTTGATTATATCAATGCTAAGTCAGCAACCACCCTTCTTACTGCTTCCTGGAAGGCAGCCTCGTCCCATTCGGTTCCCTGTACATATAAAGAAATAAAACAACTTCTCAGTTTCCTTCTACTTTCCCAAATACATATTCAATATAATACTGTTTATAGCAATCATTGATTTCATAGTCATTGTCTCTTTCCAGTTTATACCATGCATTGATTTCATAGTTGGTGTGAGACAACATTGACTCCTCACATATGAAAAATCTTTAAGTTTAACACATGAACAATACAAAATGGACAAAATGGGATAATGTAGAGCATGGCTGCATGTGTGGCTATTGAGGTTTCACACGTAGGACAATTTGCTCTGATACCATAAAAAAGGTTGTGGTTATATCTTAAAATCAATTGACGATATAAGGAGTAGCTAAATTACTTATAAGCACATGCAAGATCCCTCATTTTTCCGATGTGGGGTTCATATTCTTAATACAAACCCTTCATTATTTATCACCCTACCCACCCCTCAATTACTTAAAGGCTTATACCAGGGATCATAATAATTAATGAGTTCAAGAAATTTACAAGTATTCTATTACATACCTGATCAACTCTTAATCTCAGGATTACGCGGTTGATGTTAGAATTTGGTTCTGATATCCAAGTATTGGCTTCCATGGACATCAAGCTTACATTCTCAACCCGCTTCAAGAATTCCAAAATGCGGATCACCATATCTTCGGTGCAACTCTCTATTGATCTTAGAACCACTTGCAAGTCAATAATTTGCTGATCTTGATCGGGGGATGATTCGGATGATACATGTGTAAGTGTAAGACTAACTCGTTCATTTGAGGAGCCTGCAGTAGCTGCTGCTTCATTAGCTCCTAAGTTGGCCGGGGGCAAGAGCCTTGCCTCTAACTGCTGGTTTCTTTTACTAAGCTCATCAACTCGAGCTTTCAAACTAGTCAAGTACTCCCTCGCAGATATAAGAACCGAGGCTTTGTCTTTCTACA